CATACCATCAAAATCCTTATGGAAAACAATTTTTCAACCTGGAATTCTATAACCCACCAAAATATAAACCAAGTATGAGGATAGAACATGTTCAGATATGCATGATCTCAAAAAACTTACTTTCTATGCATCCTTTCTCAGCAATTTAATGAACTGAATAATCCACCATAAAGGGGTGGGAAGGAAAAGAAACATAACATTGGAGAAGCTAAGAAATGGGCTAAAAAGGGGAATTTTATGAATAACTACTATTCAGCAGGCTTAGATTCCTAGGACACACAAGCTGGCCAGGTTCTGCCCAGCTGTCCTAAGGGCTGAGGGGCTCAGTCTCTCAGCTCACCTACTACCAAGTCTTGACACACACACACTGGCTGCAAGCTTTGGCTTCCAGAACCACCACCACAGTTTGGAGTGAAAAGAGTGGGTGCTCTAGAAGGGAGATCTTCTGGAAAAGCAAAAAACGGTCCTAACAGACTATTTATTGATCATGTGGAAAACTGTACTAAGAAGCTGTTGATGATATGAGAAAAATGGTAGTAAGAATAAAAAAAATAAACAACACAATTGTTACCTTCAGAAAAAAACTGACCCTGAGAGTATGGCCCCCAGACACCCTTTTAGCTCAGTGCTGAAGTTATCTCTGAGGTTCACCATTCAGCCTGGGAGTGGACAGCCCTGTAAAACCAAATGAGACTAACGAGGTACAGGAGTCCAGTGACAAGGGCCAGAAGGCAGAAGGGGACAAGGAAGCTGGTGATAGGAACCCAAGGTTGAGTAAGGATATTGTTGATGTGTTGTGAGATTGTTAACCATTGCCACAGGGCAACATTTGTAGTAACTGTTAAATGAGAAACTATTTTGTTCTGTAAGCCTTCATCTTAAGTGAGAATAACAGCACAATTGGAAGAGCGTAGTCAATGTCACTGAACTGTGCATGTAGAAATTTTTGAAATGGTGTATCTTTGGCTATGTGTATTTTCACCAAAAAAAAAAAAGGTTGAGAAGTTAGAGGGTTGACATGTTGTGGGGTTGTTAACCAATGTCATAAAACAATATGTGTACTACTGTTTCATGAGAAACTATTTTGTTCTGTAAGCCTTCACCTGAAGTACAATAAAAAAAAAAAGAAAAAAACTGAAGCTATATGACAAAGGAAATGCACTAAATTACTTGGTTTGGGAGTGAACAATATTTATATAGCGATCTAAATAATTGTATAAATAAAAATTGTGATAAATCTGAAACAGGGAGTGAGGGTGGGGAAGACAGAGCTAGGTCCTCCTATCTATCATAATAGGAAATCCATAGGTAATATCTAAAATTGATGAATGAAGATATAGCTGTTTAAGGATATTATTTAGAAATACAAGGTAAAAAAGAAGAAATTGCTCTTGGGAAGTAGAATTGGAAGAAAGGGAGGGACTGATGTTTTTCAGTACCAAAAAAAAATTTTTTTAATACTATTTGGCCTTTTTTAAAACCACACGCATGTATTATCTAACAAAACATTACACTTGAAAGAAATAAAAGCAATGTTTAGTTAAGGGTCCTATATAATCCTTTCCAATACTCTGTTACAAGTTATACTACCTATTTTTTTTGTTTGTTTGTTGGCTTGTTTTTCCCTCAATCTTTTCAATAAATCGGATGAAGCTGTAGGAGAAGGGAATATCAAGGGAATCAACTCTAATCAGAAGGTTTTACCCTTGGATTAAAAGCCATCTGGAAAAGGAAAACTGGGAAGACGAACTCCTCAGTACAAGTGAAAGGTCACCTAAACCCAAGAGGACTTCTTTCAGTTTCATATAGAGATGTACAAGTCCTCCTAAGATAGAGAAAATCTGTAAAATCTGCTATGTTTCAGCTCACTGCAAGTTGGAAACAACTTCAGTCAATGAACATTATCCTGATCATATTAACAGCTTGGAAAAAAAATATTATAGCACACAGACTTGCTTCACTTAGGGGTCTATATTTAGCAGCTCTTACTAGTCAGGTAGGGGCCCTGAAGGCACAATGGTTAAGCGTTCGGCTACTAACTGAAAGGTCGGTGGTTCAAACCCACCAGGGGCTCCGCGGGAGAAAGATGTGGCAGTCTGCTACCATAAAGATTCACAGAGCCTTGGAAACCGTATGGGTCCTACAGGGTCGCTATGAGTCGGAGTCGACTCCATGGCAACGGGTACTAGCCAGGTTTGGTTTCATTTTTAAAAGCACTGCTTTGTCTACACATATACAGGCACTCACACAGAATGTATAGATTAAAACCCAAGTAAAGCCAACCTATCAAGAGTAAAGACCCTTCTTCCCTTTTCACTTCCCCTACCTTCCAGCATTCTTTCATTCATTCGCTTATTCAACCATTATCAACTATCTGCTTAATGTCTACTATGAGGAAGGCTCTCTCAGGCTTTATGGAGAATGTAAGGATATGGTCCCTGCCCTTAAAAAGTTTAGCGGCGTTAGGACACAATGGGTGATCACTGAAATGACAGCCAGCCTTCAACTCTTCACACAACCCTCTGAGGGACGAAGACCAAAGACTTGGGTATTGGAAGCTTATAAACTGAATCCGAACGAGGATGTTTTCTTACTGTATGCATTCCTGCAAAGCTTTCAGTGTCAACATTTGATAAGAAGACTATCAAACTTTGCTCATGTCCAGGTAATGCCAAACCAAACCTGTCTAATTCCGACTCCCAGCGACCCTATAGGACAGAGTAGAACTGCCCTATAGGGTTTCTAAGGCTATAATCTTTATGGAAGCAAACTGTCACATCTTCCTCCTATGGAGTGGTTGGTGGGTTCAAACCACTGACCTTTGGTTAGCAGCTAAGCATTTAACCACTGTGCCACCAAGGCTCCTGTCCAGGTCAAGTAGAATAGAGACAGTCAACAAGGTTATGGTTACCCCAGAATGACTTTGGAATGCATCTCAGAAATTGGCAAGACAAGGAGAAAAAGGGGAATGGTTTCAATATAGAGAATTTGATTTTCAGTGGCAAGCAGTTCTACTCAAGATGTTTTAAAAAAACACTCCAATAATTTAGCAGCTCAGGGAACTGTATGAATTACAGGTGTCAAATTCACATTTACAGATGGAGCAAATTCTTTCTAAAATATTGAGACTAAAATAATCTCACTTCTGTCAATGGAACTAAAAATGCTTTGGATGAAATCTTATCTTAGTTTGAAACAGCTTCATCAGCAGAATGGCAACCAAGGCTGGATTCATTTGACGAAACAAATAGTAATATTTGATGTATTTGCTTGGCAATAAACAGTTAAAATCAACAAGCATATCATGTGCAGTAATCTTCACACCAATGGATTAAAGATAAGAAGATATCCCATTAGGAATTTAAAAGCAAAAGTGAGATTCGACACTGAAGAATGAAAGTGGCACATACCACATGCATTTCAAGAAGAATGAATAATGGCCAGAGTCAATGATTGTTCTCACCAGTTCTTAAGCATTTACTATGTGCCAGTCACAATGCTAACTGCTTAACAGGTAGGATAGCCTGGTAGTTAGTTAACAGCATGAACTCCGGGGCCAGGCTGCCAGGGTTCAAAAACCAGTTCTGTCACCAAGTTGGGTGCCTCTGTCCCCTCATCAGTAAAATGCAGAGAATAATCTGTAAAATGTAGCTACCTCACAAGATTGATCTGAGAATCAAATGATTCAGTATATGTAATGTGCTGAGAACACTGCCAGGCACACAGTTTGTGCTTGTTCTTAAAACTTGTAAGTGGCAGGCAGAGCCAAAATTCAAACGTCAGGATAAACTTTCTATTCAAACACTATGAATGTTGATTAAGAGAGACTCTACTAATCATGAGCTAATCAACAGTGATAAGAGCGTTATGTATCTTGAAGGTAAAAAACAAAACAAAATCACAAATGGATGAAAAACTAGCAGTAACCAGTGACGACAGTGAGGCATGCTGATAGGATCAGCCAGAGAAACGTCACCTAGAGAGAGGCTCCCTGTACAGTGGGCAAAGCACTGCACTGGGAGTCAGGAGACCTGGGTTCAAATACCAGCTCAGCAACGAACAAGCTGTGTGGCCTTGACTGGCTGCTTAATATGCAGGGTCTGAACTTCCTTATCTGCTAAATAAAGGGGCAGATAATTCTGAAGTTTCTTCTAGTGCTGACATTCTACGATATTGCTGTTGTTATTATGTGCCACTAAGTTGATTCTGACTCATAGTGACCCCATGTGACAGAGCAGAACTGTCCCACAGGGTTCCCTAGGTTGTGATCTTTACAGGAGCAGATCTCAAGGTCTTTCTCTCTTGGAGCCGCTGGGTTCGTTCAAATCTGCAACCTTTTGGTTGGCAGCTGAGCATTTAACAGTTGCACCACAGGGCTTTCTATGATACTATGACCCAACAAAATATACCGTAATTGAAAGCTATACCTTTTTTAAAAAATAGGTATTATTATTTAATTTTTGAACAACCACATATATTCAACAGGTAAATTATCTAGAATGTATTTATACTTTTGGGCATAGCAGTTTCAGGAGAATGAAATTAACAGACTAGAGAAACAATTCTACTGTATATTAGAGAATAACTATTAAAGACAGAGAGTAGATTAGAGGTTAGCAGGGGCTGGGGGAGAGGAGAATGGGGAGTTATTGCTTAATGGGTACAGTTTCTGCTTGGGGTGATGAAAAGGTTCTGGAAATAGACAGTGGTGATGGTTACACAGCATTGTGAATGTACTTAATGCCAATGAATTGTACATTCAAAAATGGTTACAAGGGTAAACTTTATGTTATGTATATTTTAGCACAATAAAAAAGAAAAAATAAATATAAACAGGTTAATCTGAAAAATAAAACAGGAATAATTTTGATAACAATATAATAATTCTTCAATCAGTTTTTTAGTAGGGGAAAAGTAAAAAATATTTCTTACATTATGTGAGAAATAAATATTTTAGTATATTCAGTTTCATAAACAAGTTGAGAAATGATACAATTTACCTTTTTGCCCATGACGACTACTGAATTTGTCTCCAATCTCGGGACGCCGAGTCTGTCTCAGCAGCATTTTGATCAGAAAAGCATCTTCGGCATTTGAAGATATCATCACTTTTTCAATATATGAATCTGTTGCTCCTTTGTAGCTAATGTTAAAAGAAAAGTCATTAAACCGGAGTTTTCAAACGTCCTTTGTGAATCTAGAATATTCTGACATTTTAATGTGGGGCTCTAAAAGATGACCTTCATTTTTCAACATTAAATTCAAATTTTACAATTTCCTTTTCATAGTTTAAATGTTTAAAATGTTAACATTTACTGGAAATTTATTTGGAGGCAGGCACAATGCAATTTAATCTTCATGATAGACCCATGAGGTGTTATTCCCTCATTATCAATGAGGAAAACTGAGGCTTAGAGAGGTTAAGTAACTTGTCCAAAGACACACAACTAATATGGAATGCAACTGGGATTTGAGCTGAAGCCTTTGGACTCCAACTCTTAACCACTTTTTTATATGGCCTTTATCTGCTTAGATTTCCAATTACTAATTTTTTCACACATTTTTCCTTTTATCTGGTTTTCATACAACAAACATTAAGAGTTTCCTATGTGTCAGATCCTTGCAGGCTCTGGAAATACGAAGATTAAGCAGGCATGGTCCCTGCCCTAAAGGAACGAACACTCCAATCAAAGAGGACAGCAAGTGCAGCAGAGATATCAGTTTTATGGAGAACTATAAAGGCCTGAGGTAACAGTCAACCTGCTGGAGGCTGGGAGTGACAGTGGCTACAAAGAGGGGGCAGGCTGCTTTATAGAGAAGGTGACCCTAGAGTTGAGACCAGACCAGGGGAAGGGCATTCCAGGCAGAGAGCAGCATGACCAAATGCACAGAGGTCTGATAGAATGGTTTGGAGATTAAGAGGCAACTTACTGGAAATACAGGGCCTAGTGTACAAAGAGGTAGAGAGGTATGTCATGGATCATGGAAAGTCTTGTACGTCTTACTGTTTCATTTGGCCTTTATCCCACAGGCAAAAGCGTCATTAAAGGATTTTAAGCAAGAGAATAACACAACCAGACGAGTAATTTACAGAAATCACTCTGGTAGTAATGTAGAGAGAGTCTGGGAGGTGTGGCAAGGTGCAAGACTGGAGGCCGACAGAACAGGTAACAATAACTAAGAATCCAGGCAGGAGAGGAGGGTCAGAACTCAGGCAGCCAGAGCAAGCAGAGGGAGGAGACAGAATAACAGAACTGCTAAGGAGAGAGGACCTACAGGATTTGGTGAATTGGTGTGTGTGGCAGATAAAGGAAAGGAGTCAGGTTTTCGCTGGGGTGGCTGGCTGGGTGGAGGAGCCACCACCAAGAGAGGGACCCAGGCACTTTTATGCTCATGTGCCCTTCATCTTGCTGTTGCCTCCACTTGGAACACACTGCCTACGTGGTCCACAACTCAACCCCAGGTTATAAGTTCTATATGGTTCCACAGCCTAGTTGTATCTTCTATGCCATGCTATTAGTAACTCAAATTTATATTTCTAATGCTCCAACCCACCAAGACCTAATTTCTAATTTCCCTTCTTCATTCTCTTTCTTTGCTTATCTTTCTATGTTTTACCAAGGCCCAACTAATACCTACGTTATGGGCACATCTTTGTACTGTGGTTGCTGTGGCACATTACTTCCTTCCAAAGGAATCTGGGTCACTGTGGGCATGGACTTATTTACAAGTACTTGTTTGTTTTCGACTTTCTCACCTAAGGAAAAGAGAAGCGTATTAGATACGTCGTTATCTGGTGTAGAATACAAAGATTATTGGGGCATAAAATTATTACGGTTAGACCTGGCCCATGAAATCCAGACATGGAAGAAAAAAAATAAATCCATACAGTAGGAACTAGAACTCAACAAGGCAAGCCATTAAAATAATCATCAATTAAGATCACAGTGTGTATAAAATCAAGAAACTGATTTAAGGCCTATGTTAACAAGAAAAACCTTATTTCAGGTACATAGCGATTTCATGTATCTTTTAGGGTGTCAGAACAGATCTGGAACATTTATTTTATTAACAGTTATTTCAATCAGTTATAAGTCACCACCAACCTAACTTGGGCAATAAGGAAATAAAAATATTTCTTTCTTTGATTTCCCTTCTACTGCCATCTTTGCTTTGCATCTTTTCATGTAAGCGCGAAGACCAACTATTGTAGCTTTGTCACAGCAGTTGGTTTTCCAAGTCACACTGAGCAGGGCTAAGAGTGAGATAAATTCTCCAAGAAACAAAGGCAGGGAGGAGGAGGAGGAGCCATGCCCTGTGTGCATCATGGTGCCACTGCTGACACAGCATTCACTACCCAGGCCCCATCTGTGATGCAGTCACACAGGTCTTCCCTCCCCAAGTTAGCTCATTCTCTCCCCCTTTACCACAGCTACCAAGTCCCCTGTCCTTGGGCACCTGGTCTACTGCAAGAAGCTCTCAGCTGCTCTCCCTTCTATTTTGTCTCCCTTTTAATCTTTTCTCCACACTGTAGTCAGAACGATCATTTCAAAAACCTATATCTGATCATATCACACCTATTTACTTAAAATTCTTCACTGGTTTCCCACAGCTTTTATGATCACAATGACAACAGTAACATGGCTGCAAGGCTTCGCTCTGTCTGGCTCCTACTTCTCTGTCTCTCCATACATGTTCAGCAGGCTAGCCTGCACTCTATTCGTTTTAGCCACATTGGCCTTCTTTCAGGGCCTTTAGCTATCGAGCTCCAGGATCCTTACACAACCTTTCCTGCTGCTTAGAACACACTCCCCTCCCCTTTTCACTAGTTAACTCCTACTTATCCTTCAGGTATCAGCTCCCTTCCTTGGGAAAGGCTAACCTGATCTTCCTGACTAGGTCAAATCCTCCTGCTATAAAATGGCCTCATAGCTCTCAATATAATTCTTTAACCTGGTTGTAATTTGGCATTTGCTCATGTGTGATCTTTTGATCAGTGTCTGCCACACTAGCCTGTAAGACCCATAGGATGGGTATTGTGGGCTGCATCAACACAATTCATTGTAAGTTTGTAATTACAATAGAGTCACACCTTTTACAGAAAGAAGATTCTAAAGTCAGTTTATAAGCTAAATGCACAAACAATAAAATAACTAGCATAGATGCTGGAGCATGACCCTATTCTAACTATCTAATCATATAATCTATAATTATATCTCTTAAGTGACTTTTTTATATGATCCAAAATTATAACGAGAATTGATTACTGCTATGTAAAAACGCGTGCATAGAAAAACAGACTGGAAAGAAATTCATCAAAAATTACTACACTGGTTGAATTAGGCTAGTGGTATTGTGTAGGCTATTTTTTTCCTGCACTATTTACCAAATATTCAAAAATATTGTTGAATAACTTTCATAAACTCAAAAGATACTTTTTTTTCTTAAAAAAAAAAAAGGCTTTTACCTGGAGAACAAATACCATCTGCATCCAAAATTTCATGTCTCCAGATGGGTTTCCTTGTAGCAGCATCCAGCATGGGCCCCATCACTTTATCAAAAGTTTGATTGGTGTATCGCTTCAATGTACATTTAGCATTTTTATATACAAGGCAACGTCCAAAGCCTAAAACAAAACAAAAATGTATGTAAGAGCCACCAGTGATAGAAAACTACAAGAAAACACACTGATTTGTGTTATTCAATTCAAAGCCAGCCCACTGCCATCGAGTTGATTCTGACTCATAGCGACCCTATAGGACAGAGTAGAACTGCCCCATAGGGTTTCCAAGACTGTAAATCTTTACCAAAGTAGATTGCCACATCTTTCTCCTGTGGAGTGGATGGTAGGTTTAAACTGCCGACCTTCTGGTTAGCAGCCAAATGCTTTAACCACTGCGCCACAATTACTCACCCCCCAAAAAAACAAACAAACAAAAAAAACCCTGCGCTATATCTGGATAATCTGGGACCTGGCATAACCCAAATCACAATCTGATAATCTGAAGAACTGGCTCAGGACTTTTCCCCCATCTACTGTCCATATAGACGCTAGAACTTCTACCACTTCTTTCAGCATGGAATATACCTCGCCATGTTGGAAGCAGGTGAGAGAAGTGAAAAAGTGGCACTGTGAGTCTTTTGGAGCATACAGCCACGAGATGTTAGAGTTGGAAAGGGCCTTAGAAATCATCTGGTTTAACCTTTGTCTTTTACAGGTGCTACGAGTGAGGTCCAGAGAAGTTAAGTAGTTAACATCACCCAGCAAGTTGGTGGCAAAGTTAAGAACAGACTAAGTCAACTGACTTCTTAGGCAGGACTCTTGGCACATATCCTTTTTGTGGGTAACTTCTATTATCCTCTCTGAAGTTTTCCTTTTTCTGATTTGGGCATTCAGAGGGAACCCCAAACAAGTAAACAAAAAATTTTAATGGTAGAGACAGTCTGCCTCTTCCCTTGAAGAGTTTACTTTGTTTATATTTTTAGACCACGTTTATCTAGAGGGTAAGGGAAGAGTCCTGAGACCAACCAACGATCTACACATTAAGAAAGATAACCAACAACGGACAAAAGAAAACCTTCCGATGGGATAAAAAACTCAACCACAGAATCCCTCAAAAATACTAACCAGTTATAGACTCCCCAAAAGAGCTGTCATTACTTCAACACCAAATATTATTTCCCAAGATTCTGTGGCTGCATTTCTGTCTTTTTTTGTCCCCCTTTTCCATTTGGCCAAGCAGTTGTTTAAAACTAAATTCTCTCTAATCTCCCCAGGATATACTGAGACATGTCAGAGTTCATTTAAATAGAAAAATGTCTCAGGATCAAATGCCAGCTATTGCTGAAGAAATAAATGCACAGCTCTAAAATCCTTCACTTATGAATCGCTACCAAAAACAGAACTCTTTCAAGAAATCTAAGAATGTGAGTTTAGAAAATCAACCAGGGAAAGTGGATTTATAAGTAAAATCTCAGTGCTCTAATACACTTTTTTAAAAACGAAGGTGACTAGTATCTAGAAGGGAACCCTGGTGGCATAGTGCTTAAGAGTTTGACTGCTAACCAAAAGGTTGTAGTTCAAATCAACCAGGCACTCCTTGGAAACCCTATGGGGCAGTTCTACTCTGCCCTGTGGGGTCACTATGAGTGGGGATCAACTCAATGGCAATGGGTTAGTACCTAGAAACCACACATATTTCATGTTGTTCATTTTATTTTTTACAGGAAAAAAAACATTTTAAATTAAAAAAAAAATGAAGGTTTGACTGTGGGACGACACAATGCACTTCTATAATTGATGAAGGTATTTGTGTGTCTTCAAGCAAGGTCATAGTATCACGACTCCTAGTAAATTGCGTATGGCGGTAACAAACTCAGCTCAGAGAGCCAGCTGGTTTGGAAACATTACATGATCTCGAAATTTTGTACAATGGCCGTTAACTGCAACGTGCTGGAGTGCAGTGTGACTCTGAACTGCATGAAATCCAGAAGTGTTTTCTTTTAAGTGTAAATGGATATTTTATTTACAGGTGGTAGCTTAAAAGCCTGGGGACAGTAAACACAGATCATTAAATTGTGTTGCGGAGTTTCTGACAGACATCACAAAGTCTTCAGATTTCCACATAAACGTTACCAGTTAATCAGAAAGGAAAACATCTAGTTTTAAAGCATGGCTGTTGTCATTTGGAGGAAAAAAAAGAGGCATAAATTAAGTGCAGCCAACATTAATGCCAAAGACACATGTCTAGGAGTACTATTATGGCTGCCTAGCAACTACAAACAGGGAAGGGGGCGGCATAGTGGGTATGCCAGGGAGAAAGAAAAGCAATAGAGATTATGAATAGAGAAGTCAGAATCAGATCAGGTGATGGCTAACAAACCATGAAGTGGTGACCTGCAAAACTAAACTATCAAAAAACCAAGGAAGAAAAGAGTAAAAACTATAAGCCAGAGTTTGTGTATGTATATTTTTAACACTTATCATCTAGTTGACAAAAAGGCATAAAGATTATGGAGTTGAGATCTACCATAAAAAACAGCCTTTTAAATCCAAATAGTGCTACTGGCCTTTCAAACAACTTTGTTGTTAAATACTCATTAGATATATTATTTAAAACTTACTTCATTTATTTAGCTTTTGCTAGAAATTAAATTTTTACACTTTTTTACTGATGAGGAATTATCTAAGGTCACCAGTAAAACAACAAAGAAAAAAAAAGATCCTCAATATTACATTTTACAAATTACATAGTATACATTTTTTTAAAAAGGCCAACAGCAAAACATGACCACTTCCTGTTTGTATATTATATAAGATTCAAATCACTTGAAACTGATATTAGTGTTTTGACACCAAGTGATTTTTTACATTAATCATCCTTATATCTAACTCTGTAAAAGGCATCTTTGGTGTTAGAGATTTGAAAATCCACTCACCTCTGTCCAAGGAGGCCTTGTTTAAAACAAGAGCATCTTCAATATCATAGCCACTATAACTCATCACAGCAACTGTTGCATTCTGTCCAGCTGGCAATTTCTCAAATTCTATCAACTCAATGGTTTTTGTTTTAACCATGGGTTTCTGTGGATATGCTAGTAGATACATGAGAGTGTCAATTCTGTTCCGCTGGTTGTATCCAATGGTACCTTCATTGATATTGGAGAAAAAGAAATGCAACATTCTATTATGTAAAATAATTAGGTAGTAATGAGTACAGACATGGAACATTAACTTCATTAATTAAAATGAAGAAAATCTTTGGGTCAAACATTTCAAAAGCAATAACTTTTAAAAGCAATTTTTCTCACTAATATTTAAAATCCTACAAAGAAGAAAAATCACATGCAGTGTATGCTGATTCAAATAATTTCAGTTTTTTGATTTATACAATTGATCTCTTTTGAGGAATTTTAATTTCCATTGATTAATTTCACCAGTAAGTCAAAAATTCTGTACTTGGTTCTACTATGTTCCAGGCACAATTCCAGCTGCTGGGGAAAGGTAGTTAGAGAACAGCAACCAATGTATACACGCAAGCAGCTTATACAGTGGGACAAGCACATTTCAATAAAAGATACCAATTACGAAAGCTCTAAATAAAAAACAAAGCAAGAGAGAAGAGAAAAAACAGAATGAAGAAGAAAGAAAGAAAGAATTCAAGTGAACAAAGCAGGAAGAGTGGATTTATTCATTTGTTAAGGAGTTAATAAAGATCTACTACGTGCCAAAGGGGCCCTGGTGGCGCAGTGGTTAAAGTGAAAGGCTGCTAACCGAAAGAAAGGTCATCGGTTCCAACCCACCAGCTGCTTCATGGGAGAAAGATGTGGCAGTCTGCTTCTGTAAAGATTACTACCTTGGAAACCCTGTGGGGCAGTTCTACTCTGTTCTATGGAGTCACTATGAGTCGGGATCCACTTGATGGCAACGGGCTTGTTTTTTTTGTTTTTATGTGCCAAACACTGGTGAGAAAATGGGGAAAGGCACGGTCCCTTCCTCTAAGGAGTCTAGGGCACAGTCCAATCAGAGATGGGCTCCTCCCTCCTTAGCAAATGTCTTTCCACCTGACTGGTCCTGGGAAAGGTGTTATTGGGTCACTGTCAATTAGAAAATAGAATCAGAATGTTAACCTCTTCTTTCTTTTCCCCTTAGAAACACACTGGATGGGGTTCATGGACCAACTCTTTCACTCTCTTGGGGTTGTGGACAAACAGTAGATCATACTCAGAAACCTTAAAATTGGGAAACTCAGGCTTGCCCTACTGTTGAGCTTAAACATGGGCTACTGAGCATCCTTAACTTCTAGGTTTATCTTTTTTGCTTCCCCTTAGTGGCTGAAAAGAACAGATGTTAATTTTAGGAGAAATAAGGCAGCTTTAAGCTTCTCTCTCTTGCACATGCTTCTGTAGTGACACACACATATACAATATCCAGAAGCCCCAAGGTCCCTGTATGCCATTTAATGGAATTATGCCCTAGAGTGAGCAGATACCAAAACTCAGTATTTATTTCCTTTACTTTTTTCTTCCTACTCACGTCATTAAATCAATGGTGATTTCAATTTAAGAGATGAAAGTAACCTATTTAAAGAGCAAAAACGATATGGCACTTCTTGATGGTTACTATTAAAAAGAAATCATAAAATCTGTAGGGTCTACCAAAGAGATGAGGACCTAGCATTGTCGGAGTCACTGCAGATGCTCAATAAATGTCAAGTGAATTAAAGAATCCCATCAGACTTATGATGATAATGTGGATCTGTGCTTAAATCTCTAGAAAATTTACCAAGATTTAGCTGAGCTAGAAAACAACAGCCAAACCGAACCTCATAAGCTTTTTGTTGAGTTTGCACTATAAACTGCCAATTAATTTTACATTATTTTAGTGCCAACTAATAAACTGGGCAGGATACCTGGCACTAGATCACTTGCTATTTTAGAAATAAAATCACTGCCACTGGGATCGTGGTAAAAGTTCACCAACAATAAGTTTGTTCTTTTACATGAAATCATTTAAAATTTATGTTGAGATTTCAGCTCCAATTGTATACTTTACCCAGCTTGAGACAAGGGTTCAGGCAATGTCCCACCAGGCTGCCAAACATGTCTCCTGAAACCTGAGACACGCATTATTATGCAGCAGGAAGCATAAATGGCTGCACCTCTAAACAATGGCAAAAGAGACAGGATTCTGCTATAAATTGTGCTAGCAGGCCCAGAACATAATTCTCGGCCATTCCAGCTGACCACTGAATGGATGAAGAGCAAACGATTTAGTAAATGTCTTGTGCTTATAATCTCATCAGGAACTTTTCTTTTAAGACTCTTGAAAGAACTTGTGAGAGTGCACATGTATGTATATACATTATTAGCAGCACTGACCATGGGTGTGTCCGTTAAAACATGATTTATACTTGATGACTTCTGTATCTTACAACTTCAAAATGCCATTAGACCTCCATACTTTTTATAAAAATTAGGGTTTATCACATACAGAATGGCTGTTAGCTATTTTGCCAGTAACCAGGCGTTTTTGAGAAAGTGGCATGCAGAAACTAAATTACAAGGCTAGCCTGTGTGAAGCACATGCTCAAATTGCTGTTGATGTGTGCTGTCGAGCGAATTCCAACTCATGGTGACCCTACAGGACTGAGTAGAACTGCTCCATAGGGTTTCCAAGGCTGTAATCTTGATGGGAGTAGATCATCAGGTCTTATCTCCCGCAGAGCGGTTGGTGGGTTCAAACCACTGAACCCAGCACTTAACAATTATGCCATCAGGGCTCCTTATGCAAACTAGGATACCTCTATTACTATTTTCAGCTTTTTAACAAGGGAGTTACATATATATTATAACCAACACAATGAAATTATCTACAAGCTGCATTCTCTGTCCACTGCCCCTTTTTGCTATATCTGTAGTCTCCAATGATTTTCTTTTCTGACTACTCAGGACATAATCTTTAAGTGAAAGTTTACAGTTCAAGTCAGTTTCTCATACAAAAATTTATACACACATTGCTATGTGACCCTAGTTGCTCTCCCTATAATGTGACAGCACACTCCTCCTTTCCACCCCAGATTTCCCGTGTCCATTCAACCAGCTCCTGTCCCTTTTTGCCTTCTCATCTAGCCTCCGGACAGAAGCTGCCCATTTAGTCTCATGTATCTACTTGAGCTAAGAAGCCCTCTCTTCACGAGAATCATTTTATGTCCCATAGTCCAGTCTAATCTTTGTCTGAAGAGTTGGCTTTGGGAATGGTTTCAGTTCTGGACTAACAGAGAGTCTGGGGGTCATGTCTTCTGGAGTCCCTCCAGTATCAGTCTAGGACATAATCTTTGTTACAAAGTCATATTTTCTTGATAATAACTTTAAGTCACAAGTTGGCATAGCAAGGTACATAAATGTAGGTTAAAGCAGTGAAGAAGTACTTTTTTTTTTAAGGTGGGATGAAAAAGGCTAGTAAAGATGTGAATAGCTTGGAAAATATATACTGAGAAAAATAAAATGAAGTTTTATGCATTTAACTTTCTCCTCTGCCTTCCCTTGCTCAACTTCCTCTTTATTTAATCAACATTATTCAACACAACAAACTTTACCCACTTAAAGTGTACAAATTGATGAATTCTGACAGATGCATACACCTGTGAAACCACCACCACGATCAAGATTCAGAACATTTCCATCACCCCCAAAAGATCCCTCCCTCTTTCCTCGCCCCGGGTAACCACTGATCTGTTTTTATCACTGTATAATAGATTAGTTTGCATTTTCTATAAATAGAATCATACATTAGGTATACTTTTGTGTCTCCTTTCATTTAGCATAGTGATTGAGATTCATCCTGTGGTTATGCATATCAGTAGTTCATTCCTTTTTATTGCTGAGCAGTATTCCACTGTATGAATATACATTTTGTTCATCTATTCACCTGGTGATGGATATTTTTGTTGTTTATAGTTTTTGACTACTGTGAATAAAGTGGCAATGAACATTCAGGTTCAAATCTTTGCATGTTTTCATTTCTCTTTGGTAACTACCTAGGAGTGGAATTTCTGAGTCATTTAGTAAGGGTATGATTAACTTTTTAAGAAACTGCCAAAGAGCTTTCCAAAGTCATTATACCATTTTATATTCCCACCAGCATTGTATAAGAGCTTCAGTCACTTCACATCCTCACCAATACTTAAGTATGTCAGTCTTTTTAATTTTAGTCATTCTAATGGGTATGTAGTAGTTTTTCATTAAACGGCTGTATTTTAATTCACATTTACCTGACAGTTAATAATACTGAACATATTTTCATGTGCTTACTGGTCATTTCTACAACTTTTTTTATGAAGTGTCTGGTTTTTGTTTTCCTATCTTTTAAATGGATTGTCTTATTATTGTAAATTTCTTTATATATTCTGGATAGAAATCCTGTATCAAATATAAGTCATGCAAATATTTTCTCCCATTCTGAAGCTTACATTTTCATATTCCTAGCAGTGTCTTTCAAAGAGCAAAAGTTTTTGATTTTGAAGAAATCCAATTTAGTAATTTTTTTCTTTTTATGGTTCATGCTTTTGTGTCCTATCTAGGAAATCTTTGTTTAACTCAAGGTCATGAAGACTTTCGCCTACATCTTCTGTAAGTTTTATGGTTTTAGCTTTCACACTTATGTCTATAATCCATTTCAAGTTAATTTTTATATATGGTGTGAGGTAGGAGTTGATATTCAGTTTTTCTATCCAGTTACACAGATATCTCATTGACTGAAAAGACTTCTCCTTTCACTGCTGCATTGTCTTGACACATTCATTAAAATCAACTGCCCCTAAAACTGTGGTTCTATTTCTGGCCTCTTGATTCTGTTCCATTGACTTATATATATGTCTACCCTTACGTTGATATAACATTGTCTTGCTTATTGCAGCTTTATAGAAGTCTTCAAATCAGGTTGTAGAAGTCTTCCAACTTTGTTCTTCTTTGCAAAAATTATTTTCAAAATCTGCCCCTCATTTCTTAACTTTCAATGTGCTCAAAGATTCATGCATTCATTCGTTTATTTGTGAAACACTTATTAAGCACTTACAATACTCTATCACTAAGCTAGGCACAAGGGACACAATAAAAAAAAAAATAACACAGACATAGTCCCTGTCCTC